GTTCTTTTCACACAGACCTGTCACTTTTCACACAGAAATGTCACTTTACATTCGTGTTTTGCCTTTCCAATGAAAAGATTCATTTTCTAAGCAACGATGCCATCATGAAAAGTGACTTTTACATAGTGCACTATGTAAAAGTCACTTTTCATGATGGCATCGTTGCTTAGAAAATGAATCTAGGACCATGGTCCTAGAAAATAGTTACCTATTTGTTTTAGTGTTGAAAAGCGACTTTTTCATGCGAGTGTGCATTAACACGAGCTTGAAGAAAGCTTTTCTCACAAGTAAAACTCAATGTTTCTTCTACGACCCTTTTATTTTTTATATATTTAAATACAAAACAAAATAACCTAAAAACGTGTTTGACAGCTGTTAAAATTCTTTCTTCTCATCTTATTCTTTTAATTTTTAAGGTATAAGTTACTAAAAATCAATAAACTTACCTTCTCAATTTAAATAAAAGCTTAGTGCTAGCACTAAAAACTAGAATTTATTATACAAACACAATTAATTGTGTTCTAAATGATATTTAGACATAGGTACATAAACAAATACAATACAAATTTTGAAACGAATGTCGACATCGTTTGATCAAACGATGCTGTCAATTCCTTTTCATACAGACCTAGGTCTGTATTTCTGTGTGAAAAGTGACAGCTGTCACTTTTCACACAGAAATGTCACTTTACAATGTAAAGTTTACTTTCGTGTTTTGTCTTGCCAATGAAAAGATTTATTTTCTAAGCAACGATGCCAATACGAAATGGGACTTTTACATAGTGGTCATAGAAAATAGTATATTATGTATCAAGTTTTATAAATGCCATTTTAGTTACGAGTTTAATTAAGCACGAGCGAGTGTTTAATAAAAACGAGTGTCTAGAGAAGTTTATAAACAAGTTGCATACCTACTATACTTTATCTACGACGAACACAAAACAGAATTTAAAGCCAATTTTATTTGTTAAAATTTTGACATCTGTCAACTGTCACCCGAATTTAACCTCACTTTTTCTCAATTTATAATAAAGCTAACTTCAGCCCGTGACGTAAAATGTCGAAAAGCCACTGTTGTTAACTTCAGCCCGTCAATAAAACGCCATAAAGTTACAGCTCGTCAATGTAGGAGTAGATAATAGTTATTTGTTTTACAAGTGTTAAAAAGCGACATTTTCATGCGAGTTTGACCGAGTGTGCATTAACACGAGCTTGAAGAAAGCTTTTTTCACAAGTATAAGTATAATGTTTTTTCTGCGACCCTTTTATTTTTTATTATTTTTAAATACAAAACTAAATAACCTAAAAACTTTTTTGACAGCTGAATGTCAAACGATTCTGTCAATTTCTTTTTACAAAGAAATGTCACTTAATATTCGTGTTTTACCTTGCCAATGAAAAGATTCATTTTCTAAGCAACGATGTCATCATGAAAAATGACTTTAACATATATGTAACCACTATAGTGGTCGTAGAAAAAATATTGTGAAAAGAACCGGAAAGCATCGTTTGACATTCAGCTGTCAAAAAAGTTTTTAGGTTATTTTGTTTTGTATTTAAAAATAATAAAAAATAAAAGGGTCGCAGAAAAAAACATTGTGTTATACTTGTGAGAAAAGCTTTCTTCAAGCTCGTGTTAATGCACACTCGGCCTAACGGCCTCGTGGGCAACTTAAAAACTCGCATGAAAAAGTCGCTTTTCAACACTTGTAAAACAAATAACTATTATTTAATATTATTATTATTAGGTAAGTATTATTAATTATATAATTAATATATACCTAATTATATTATTAATTATATATATACATATACATATATGTATTATATTAATAATTATGCATAGAGGGTGTTATGTAATTAATGTTATATATTAAAATACTGAATACTTTTGACATAAGGAATAAAGGAAAAATATTTTAAAAAGCATTTTTCCAAAGATAAAGAAAAAATATGCATTAGAAGTTTTTTATGATACGCCACTGGTTACACACTTGTTTATCTCTGCACATCTGTATTTTGTGAGTACCTACATAGATACCAACCAACAAAGTAGCTATGCGTTGCCAGATGTAAAAAATTGTTACTAAAAATTTTTCTTGCAAAAAATAAATAAAAACTCAATAAATACAAAAGTTTTATGCCCTTAAAGCTCTAATACCCTTCTGTATTTATTTACTGATCGAGCTATTAGCTTAAGCAATGATTAGAAAATTTAGTACCTTTGAAATTTGAAATCCATAACCACATACTTAATTAATTTTTTCATCAGTTTTTTTCTCTGTTTACTCAGATGAAATTGGGACCAGTTCACAGGTTAAACTTTAAACATTTAATTTGTGTAAATAAATCCAAAAGCACTTCCCTTAGTTAAGATATTTACAATTTGAAAACATAACCTAAAATTTAAAAGAAATGCACTAGATTCTGTCATAAAAGTTGGCAGATTTTGTTTGAATTTACCTTCAGTACAAAAATGAAATAACCAACAATTAATAAAAACGCCAAATTGACAATTTGCATTGTTAATTTTGTCATTTTTGTAATTAAGCTAAATTTAAACAATGTTTGTCAACTTTTTTGAGAGATTTTGGAAACACTGTTACCAACCATAATATAATAAATCCACCAGATTAACCTAAAGTTCCTAGTCGATCAGTGGCCTAGTTTTTGGTAGGATAAAGGTTATTATAAATTATTTTTAGACTTTGGAATTTAGAAAAAAAAAGTTTCAGGTGCTTCTTTATGGACCCTAAGGAACAACCCATTTTAATATATAACATTAATTACATAACACCCTGTATATGCATAGGCTAATTTTTTGCGTTTATGTTTTATAAAGCAAAGGGTGGTTTAAATAAAAATATTCATATATAAAATCTATATAGAATCTATATATATATATATATATATATATATATATATATACAGGGTGTTTCATACCAGGAGGCGAAAAATGAAATTCTATATTCAAAGCGTCATTCTAAATAAAAATCTTTAATACTTTTTTGTTCTATCATTTTTCGTTTTCGAGTTATTCGAGTTCAAAGTTTTGAATTGGTCAATTGTCAATCAATAATTCTTGCTGACATATTAGCAATAAACTGACAGGTTGTATTACTTAAATAAGGCAGAAGACCACATAAGGTTATTTTTTTTTATCTGGACTAGTGTTTTTTTATTAAGTTGGTTGTTTATGTCAGTTTGATTAGTATTTTTAGGATTGGTATCTTTGTTTTACATAATTTGACAGTTTTTGTCAAATCATTAAATTTAAACAGAGGAATATCAAACTCCAATGTATTTATGTGATTTAAAAAACGTCTCTGTACAAATAATTATCCTACAGGACAATAACGAAATACTATTTTGGTCAAAAACCTATTAAAAGGTAAATATTTTTTGATTTCTTAACCACAAATATTAATTTAGTTTTATAGCTGCCAATATAATAGAAATATTTGCCAACTAAACCCCTAAGTTTGCAACGTTGCCGCAGTCCAGATAAAAAAAAATAAACTGTATTATAAAGTTAAATACTTATACGTTTCCATGGATGTATATTTTGGTTGCTAGAATTATGAATCCTATTATTGCATATTGTTATCCTTTCATTGTTTAAATTCAAAACTTTGAACTCGAATAACTCGAAAACGAAAAATGATAGAACAAAAAAGTATTAAAGATTTTTATTTAGAATGACGTTTTGAATATAGAATTTCATTTTTCGCCTCCTGGTATGAAACACCCTGTATATTAGGGTGTCCCAAAAAAAAAGAATATATTTTTTTTTCTCGTCTCTTGTAAAAATCTGTTAGTTTATCATGCTGTGAGAGCCCTTTCAAAATATCAGCTCGATTAAAAATTTTGTAGGGGTCGCTCAAGATTTTTAAAAATTTTCAAAATGGTCAAAAATTGAATTTTTGTTTTATTTTAATTCTTTTTCTCGTCTCGATATTATTTTTTAGGTTGAAAATAATAAAAATTCTGTAAATTTCAAATCAATATTTTGATTTCTAAAGGTCGCTAAAAGTTCGTTGATATTTATATTCAGAGGTCGCTCGAAAACATTCAAAATACTCTACTTTGAAAGTTAAAAAAATCTTGAGCGACCTTTAGAAATTAAAATATCGATTTGAAATTTTCGGAATCATTATTATTTTTAAATTAAAAAATAATATCGGAAAGAGAAAAAAAATTAAAATAAAACAAAATCCAATTTTTGACGATTTTGGTAATTTTTAAAAATCTTGAGCGACCCCTAAAAATTTTTTAATGGTGCTGATCTTTTGACATGGCTCTTTAAACATGACAAACCAACATATTTTCACAAGAGACGAGAAGAAAAAAAATATTCTTTTTTTTGGGACACCCTAATATATATATTATAGATATTACATACATATATCGTATAATAATTAAATTATTATTATTATTTTTATAATTTAGATAATTATAGATCATTTAAATCAAAAGTATTACATTAAACTCAAATACCCCATGTTATTTTGACCTATTTTAATATTGATAAAAATTATCCGAGGTTGGTAGCCAACAAATTCCCACTAGGAATTTCCTAGATATTGCGCGCCCAATTCACCCAAAATCCCGCCTATTTAAAAACGTTTGCCGCCAGACAGCATATGACAAAACAGCGAACTTCACGTTTATTATGAACTGTCAGCTGTTGAAACATGTGATATTATGCAACTATAAATAAGTGAGAATTTAGACTAATGTGTGCGTTCAAAATTATAGTGAGATAAAGTACAAAGTTTTAAAGGTGTAAGTATCACTAAGATGCTTAAATTGTTAAAAAAATTGCTTGTTTTATAGATTTTAACGTGTAAATAGATTGGTATGTCATTGGCATTTCAAAGCACATATGTTTTATGTAGGCAACCCTGATTACACGTTTTTTGTAATTTAAAGTAAAAAAATAGTTATTGTTTAATTATATTAGTTTTTTATGTAAAAGTTTTGAAAGGTGTCCATTATTAATTTGTTTATTTTTATTTATGTATGTTAAATGGTCTTTAAACTTAATTTTAAAGTTCTGTGTGATGTGAAGCTAGGAGCGTTAGACAGCTCTACGCGGGGTTACATTTAACTGTCAGTTGGTTTAGCGGTAAAAATGACTTCTGGCGGGATGAGCTAATACCCTGCACATTGTGTTCAGTTATTTTGTCTGTTTTTCGTGGGTTTTTAATGGTAAAAATAAATATTTATGTTACTAAAACAAGGATCTATTAGTGGAGAATAAAGGGAAACGAAAATTTTAATAATTTTGACCGATTTTAGTATTGCATACTACATAGTTTTAGTGTCGGCTTAATAAGGAAAAAATAAATGGTAAGTGGTTTTAAGTAAGTTATTTTGTGTAAAAAACATATTGAAGTATTGTATTTTGATGTAATATTTGTTAATTTTATTATTTTCTTGGTATTTATTTGGGTTTAAAGCCGTTCAAAGTTTATACCTGCTAGGGGTGGCGAAACGGAAATTTTGTCCAAAACGGTCAAATAATTTAAGTGTTTTTAATTTAAACACAATATCAATGATATATTTGCGTTATTCCTTTACGAAATAATGAGTTTTTTCTATTAAATATGTGGTTGTGTATAATTTTTACCCTAACAAAGTATAGGTACTTACAAGTTGTGGAATTTAACGTATGCAAATTGTGAAAAAAAGCTTATGCATGCATTTTGGGACATTTAAATGTGTTTTTTAATATTTAAAACCCAGCTACTATAAAAACTGATATGAGATAATAAGTGATAAACCATAGCAAGTAGTACTTGCCAAGTACATTTCTGTATGTTTATTTAATATTTATATTGCACAAGTAAACATGTATAAAGGTTCAGTAGTGAAAATTTGATTATTCATCGTTTTAATTATTTTTGCATTTTAATTCTTGTTGCCAAATGTTTAACTAACAATGTCATTTAGAATTTGAAATTATTTTTTGTTAGAAAATGCTTGTTTTAAAGTACCTAGGGCATTTCTTACAAATTATATGGCCTTTTACCTTAAGAATTAGTTTTAGGTATAATTTAAAATATTTCTGCAGGTACCTAGGTTATAGGTAGTTGATATAAGATGATATTTCTTTGTAGTATTATCATTATGATAGAGTATTATAAGGGTTTTTGGACCAAAGTAGATGTTTTGAGAAGTTCTTTCAGTTTTTTCTAAAGTAAACATTTAAAACTTATTTTTAGGTTTTTTAAATTTGTTGAGAACCGCTGGCTTTATTTTTAATTTATAAATTCCATTCCCACATAAAATCACATTCATGTTTCTTACAATTTTCAACCATTCTTTTGCGCATTTCACGTTGAAAACAAATCCGCAACTAGTTTTTGATTGATGTAAGAACAATGGACTACCTATTTGTATAATGGTTGCATTTTTGTTAATATACTTTATAGCGTCTTGTCTACAATATTAAGTAATAAAAGACAAGATTTGGTCCTGGTTTATACTAATTTTCTTATTATTGACATTGTTAGCAATTTTTTTTAAGTGGTCAGGGCTCATGTTAAAAATTAATTTAAAAATCTAAAGCTTTGGAAGTACTTACATTTAGAAGAGAAAAAAGTAAGGAAAAACCTCGTTTGAAAAAAAAATATATAAAAAATTATGACTTTTTCTCACTTTTTAGAATTTGTTCTTTTATTTTTTTTAAAAGTGGTCAGTGCTCAGGCTAAAAATTAATTTACAAATCTGAATTTTTGGGAGTACCTTCAGGATAGTAAAAAAGTAAGAAAAAAACGCGTTTGAATTTTTTTATTATGAGTTTTTCCCATTTTTTTAGGTTTTCCTTTAATTTTTCTAATAAAACGTGGCTCATATTAAAAAATTAGTACCTTCAGGATAGTAGGAATTTTTTTTTAATTATGAGTTTTTCCCACTTTTTTAGGATTTGTTCTATTTTTTTTATTAATTGTGATTTTGGCTCAGGTTAAAAATTAATTTAAAAATCTTAATTTTTGAGAGATAATTCTTTTTATTATTGACGTTATTAGCACATCTTTTTTTTTTAATAATAAATATTAAATAAAATAAATTTTGTTTATTTTTTGGAAGGGCGAGAAGGGGCATGTTGTGGCCTGGTTTTTTATTTTAGAAAGGTGGTCACCTTATTTTATTTTCCAAATATCAATTCCGAAAATTTATTGAACTAAACAAAAATAACACAAATTACATACCTACTTAAGTATTTTCTAATCTAAACCAAATATTGAGTTCTAAAGCCAATTTGTCCTCTTAAAATCTAACCTTAAAATTGTTGTACCCTCTTTGAAACCAAAACATCAAGAAGGGAAGGGAATTGCCCCCCTTATAGACCAAGAGGTAGTATAACAAATTTTAGAGAAAGTCTCATACCAGGCTGCCTCTTGGAGGACCAAATATTTGCGTCCTTTGTGTAAGATTAAACCAATAAAAAAACCCGCTACCTTGTATCGCATGTAGGGCATTATCCAAAAATGTATTAAAAATGAGAAGAAAAAAAACGATTCATACCAGGCTGCCATTGAAGTGGTCAAAAATTTAGAAAATTTAGAAAAAAATCCATCGGAAGATTAATGGCAGCCTGGCAGTAGCTTGAAAACGATTCATACCAGGGTGCCAAAGATTTAAGTTAAAATACTCATAAAAAACAATTGCCAGCCGGTTTCATTCATTCATACCGCCAAATGTTTATTATTTTAGTTGCAGCCGCCCAGAAAAAATTATGGGGAACGGGCCTACTAAATGTACATTTAGTACATATTTTAGTACATTAGTAAAAGCCCTGACAGTGCGTTTTAAAATAAAAGTTTAAGTACAAAATTATGCTAAAAAGTAATATTAAATTTTTATATGTCATGTATATGATGATTTTTAGCTTTTAAGTTTAAGTTTGACTTATTTTAGATTTTATGTACTGTTTAACTCGTTTTTTTACATTTTAGCTCGTCCTATAAGCTTGTTATTATTTTTCATCATATTAGCTTATCGTCATAAATGATAATGATAATCAAGAAAAGCTAAAATAACGATTATTTGAATGGACTACAAGCTTAAATTTAAGCTTGTAGTCCATTCAAATAATCGTTATTTTAGCTTTTCTTGATTATAGTTTTTCGTCATTTTTGTTTTTCATCTTATTAGCTTATCGTCATTTAAGCTTGTCATTTTACTTCGTCTTCATTGGCTTGTCAACATGTCCATTCAAATAATCGTTATTTTAGCTTTTCTTGATTATAGTTTTTCGTCATTTTGTCATTTTTGCTTTTCATCTTATTAGCTTATCGTCATTTAAGCTTGTCATTTTACTTCCTCGTCATTGGCTTGTCAACATTTTAGCTTATAATCATTTAAGTTTTGGCTTATCATTCAAGATTTTCGTAATTTTTAGTTATTTATCCCATTTGATTGCCGTCATTTAATGTCAGCATTTTAGTTTGTTATTATTTAAAATTAGCATTTTGTCATTATAGTTTGACTATTTATCTTGTCCTTCTAGCTTTTGTCATTATTTAAGCTTATTAGGTAATATAATGTTATCTTTATTTTAGGATATCTTATTTAAAATTGACAGCTATTTGTCATTTTAGTTTGTTGACTTTTTGAGCTTATCATAACTTGGGCTTGATACTATTAAAGGTCATTTTTTAACTTTTAAATTCCAGCCTTTTTGGGCAGATTTCTTTTGTTGGCTCAGTGGCTTGCAGAATCTTTTAAAGATTATTTTAAAGCTTATATTTTTTGAAAACTATACTTAAAATTGATTTGTCACATCTTTTGATTGGCGTTTTGTCAATGGCAAAATAATAATAATAAATTTGTCCCTTATTACTTTTGTCAAACAAATTATGAACTAATAAATTTATATTATATAAATTTTATTTTTTTTTCAGCGAGATATTAAAACCTTTTTTAGACTATAAATTAAAAATAAATTATATACGTTTATTTAGCTTCAAGGTACATATAAATACAGTATACCTAAAATACTTTTATAAATGGGACATCACATAAACTTTAAGTAGGTTTCTTAAATTTAAAAAAAGTTTTGTCGTTTAAGTTTATTCTTTTTAATCTTGGGTTCATTTTAGCTTGTCGTTACAGTAAATCTAAAGTTTTTTTATATTCAATTCTAATTATTTAACACTTTAACATAGGTATACAATATGTTGGAGTAATATATTGGTTTACTTTTTACATTTTACATGGTTGATTTTACATTTAATATATAGGTACGAATTAAGTTTACCAACAAAAGTTTTTCTTTAATCTTTATTATATAAACAATCAACTCAAAATTTAATAACCATCTTTGTTTCAGATAAGACTTCACATTACAAGCAACGAAAAGACTGATCCATAAATTATTAAATAAATTATTAAACAAACAACAAAATGAGCGAACACAAAAACCAAGATCCCAAATTAAAGGAGTTCGATAAGGATAAACTGAACCATGTGGGACAGTACAACGAGGGGGAGTATGGCGACACGAATAAGTTGTCGTTTCAGGAGTTGTTGAAAATACACAGAAACCAGACTGTATGGGGGTTTAAATTTGGGGAGGAGGTTATGGCGAGTACAAAAAAACGCGATCAGACAATGCTGGAGAAACGACAGGAGGAAGAAGTCGGTGGCGAACAAAAAGAGTTTACCGTGGAGTTGCAGGAGATCATGGAGAACAACGATTTACCCGGACCTTCCTCAAAAATAGCAGAGCATAAAACACCACATTCACGTAAAAAAACAAGCCCTAGTCGGTGTAGTAAACGCAAAAGTTCACGACAAAATGATTTCGTTTCGCCACAAAAAACACGGCGGGCGCCATTACCTCTGATGTCATGGGCTGATAGTAAAGAAGTTTGGCTTTTTATGGTCTACAAAGAAGAGGCTTCATTGAACCTCAGAAATCCACGACTGTTTGAAGACTTTTCCAACTTTATCCCGCGTATGAGGGCTATATTACTGGATTGGGTAATGGAAGTTTGCGAAGTATATCATCTCAGACGTGTCACTTACTATCTAAGTGTAGATTACTTCGACAGATTTCTCTCTATACGACCAGATGTCCCCAAAAATCAACTCCAATTAGTCGGCGTAACATGTTTATTTCTTGCATCAAAATTGGAGGAAATCTACCCTCCCAAACTCACAGAATTCTCCTATGTGTGTGATGGCGCCTGTAGCCCGGAAGAAATATTAGCTTGTGAGTTACTAATCCTTAACAGTTTAGGTTGGGATCTAAACATCATGACTCCAAGCGACTGGCTTAACCTGTACATGCAAATTCACTTTCAAGCCCCAACAGTTGCCAGACAAAAGTTACACGTTGACATGAACAAACAGTTCCTCTTTCCCCAATACTCAGGTTATCAGTTCACCCGCGCTTCACAACTGCTCGATATGTTCTCACTGGACCCGGGATTCCTCCGCTTCAGCTACAGCACCATTGCAGCTGCAGCCATGTACTTTATGTACGGTAAAAAAGCCGCCCTGTTAGCTTCAGGATTGACGTGGAAACAGCTTCAACCGTGTGCGGAGTACATGGCGGTTTTCTATCACGTGTTAAGAGACTCCTGCGATCCAAAATTGCAGTCGTGTAAAGGAGACGCGGCTTCAGAAGACCAATCATCGAGATCTCTAGCTAGTATAAGATTCAAAGTTAAAAACCTCGTTAAAGATGAGAATCATTCACTACAAACCCATGTAGTGAACATGGAGTATTTTGAAAAATCCGCCATCATAAGACTGGAACAGATGGGTTTAAAAGTTAAGAAAACTTACGTTAAAAAACGAAAATCCCCTACAAAAGAAGACGAAAAAGAAGAAGAAAAAGAAGACGAAAAAGAAGACACAAACGAAGATTACACCATGGTTTGCATGTATGACGTGGAAAAACTTTCGTGCGATGCCGAAGCGTTGTGCGAGGAAAGTTTAAATGTTACTGCGCCTAATTCAGATGCCGATTTAATTATTCCAGATGATGATAAAGCTGTTTTAAGTTTTGATGAAATTTTAGAAGGAATTGTTAAATGTAATCAAAAAAATTTGCCGATTCAACTTCAGACTTGTCAAGAAATGTTGGAAGAGAATGATGTGAAAAGAGAGTTTTAGTTAGTTTAATATTTAAGTACAAAATTAATAAAAATATAAGTATTTAATATCAAATAATTTAGGTTCATTTTTAATACAGAATTTGACATCAAAATATAAGTTAAAATTGTTTACACTTCGTTTGTTAATATTCACAACTGCAGTTTTCTTTTAATACATTAATGTAACTTAATTTGGTATAAAAAATGGACTTCAAATAAATTTTGTGATCTTTTTGAATGATTATAATTTTAAGAATATTAAATATACAATGAAAATAATTGGGATTTGTGGAAGTTGTAGATAATATTCTTATATAATACTGTACATAATATAAAAAATTTAAATTTTATCCACTTTCCTAAATTATTTATAAGCGTAGTGTTTTCTAAAGAAAACCTTTTATTTAAATCACATTTTTAGATAAAAGGTTTTTTAGTTAAGTACGTCTTAAATTACGAAATATAATTTATTTTCCTAAAACTTATTATTATTAGACCAATGTTGCATTTTTGCGAATGCACTAATTATCGAATTTTTACTGTGTATATTTTGTATGTAGAAAATTGTGATCTCTGTTTCTTTTAAAATGTATTTAATGAATCCTATTTAGGACTTTTGTAGTTTAACATTGTAAAATGTTAATTTTGACAATAAATAAATTTGCTGATAAAATGTTCTTGTATTTTTGTCTTTTTTATACAATATTTTCACATATTGGTGTAGTCCCCTATCAGAACCTTTCCTACCCTGTCCAGGCTAAATCATTTCTTTTTTAACATCCAGATACAAATACTTCGCCAAAGATTCGCCCCATCGGACCACATTACCACCTTGGTAATGCTCTTAAGTTGATAACTATACAAAATACCCAGCTCTGGCAAAAGTAAACGCAAGTATAAAAAATGTTCATACACTGGTATAGTTTAATTAATACACCCATTAAGTTAAAAAAGCGTAAGTTGTATGGTCTCATAACTCTTATCCTATTTTTTATGAGGGTCCAGTTAAACGCCCCAAGGATAGGCAACCAATTTTTGAATTTTTAGGTGTTTTATTTATTGGTTGGAATTGTTTAAACTGGTATTTTTTGTTACTTTACAACTAAACTGGATAAAGTATTCTAGAGAAGTGTTTTAAAAACTGTAGACACACCAGTATTTTTTCCACTATATGATTAAAGTCATAATAGGTTGCCTACCCAAACTTAGTTTTTATACGATCTGAAGATGCTACTGGGTAGCGAAACAATTGTCATATTGAAATAAAATAGTGAAAATTTTAAACAGTGGAGTTTATATTTTAAAACATATATTAAAACATAATAACAAATTTGTGAATTTAAATTTTTTAATTATAATAAAAAAATATTCTTCTTCAATCTGAACACAAAAGCACTGTGTTCAGGGGTAATGGTCTTTAGCTTAATTAAAAGCTAAGAGCTGGTCAGCTCATTATGTTTTAAAAAAAAATTTAATATGATCAAGGGTCATGGAGTTCGATTTTGTCTTTCGTGTGTATCGCTCGATTAAAAAGTGTGAAAAATAGCTGACCCAGGAGGGACAAAATTGGATTCCGGGCATAGAAATATTCCTGTATCTTTGGACAATTCGCAAGCTTTGACCTTTTAGCGAGGTATTTTGTGATTTGTACACGAGAATTAGTGGATGATTCAAGATTGGAAAATTCACATGTCTGTGGGTGGATGGATGGCTTAGTGAAGCGCAGGGACGTTAAAACTTGTTTCTGGTCAAAATGGTACATTGAAACCGAGACCATTAAGGCTTTTTGCCACCAAGAAAGAAGAAGGGTCTCAATCAAGAAAATAAAAAAATATTCAAAAAAATAAAAATTTGTTAAAAAAATTATAATTAAAAAATATTTTAAATAATAAAATATTGTTTTTATGAAGAATCACAAGAAAAGTTTTTTAACTTGTTTTGTAAAATAAAGCTTTTCTTTGATTTCTCGCACGTTGCTTGGCGTTGTTCAAGGCCACGTCAAAAGACCTCTGAAACCCCAGGAGGAGAAAATCTTGTTCATGAAAACTCCCTAGAAAACATAAGTTTTATTAAATTAAAATATTTAATTCTCTATTTTGTTATAAATCATTTTTTTTCCAATGTATGTTTTTCCATAATACAAAAATTATTTAAAAAAATTTTTTAAATTTTTTTAAATAAAAAAAAATTATTTCTATTTTAAATTTTTGATTTTTTTTAATAAAACAGATTTGTATTTATCTTGGTTAAAAAAAAAATCACAATTATGATGTCGATCATAATTATTGAATTATTAAATATATTTTTGCGCCTGATAACACGTGTTAATGGTTGAGAAATGGATTGTTGTTGGGTGCGGAAATGTAACCTATTTGTAAGTAGGTATTGACCATGGTGGTCTTCCACCCTGGTATTGACTATCCTGCCGTCCTAAGCCAAAAAGACGCATCTCATTATCTTATTCTAGAAAAAATACGCATTTTAACTATACAGCTCTTTAAAATTGCCAATTAAATTGAACGTATCTTATGAAAAAAACAATAAAGCACTATAATTTTTAAAGTAAAAATGTTGAGTTGCGTCTTTTTGGCTTAGCACGGCAGTGTCACTCTAGCGGAAAAATACTGTTTGTTAATTATGAATTATTTAGGATTGCTTGTTTATTGGTAATTTAGTCCAGGCTAAATCCAGGTTACTTATGGTTGTTTCAAAACCAAGTGCTGGCAAGATTAATTTTTCACGGTTGGTTAGAAGTCCACAGTGTGGACTCCACACTCAAACGTTTTGTACAAATTTCCATATGTTAAGTTTAAAATCGGATAAGTAGCCTGGACTAAATTACCAAATTTTGCAATATTCTCTTATTATTCAAGAATTAAGACTAATAATTTTTAGGTTTGCACTCCCCAAACAAAAACATTCATGATATTAATTTACATTTGGTAACATGAATTGACTGCAACTGACCCAGACTTACCATAACTGTTTATACCGATTAAGTATTTAATATATATTAAAATAATATTAATATTATTAATTATTTTTTATTATATTATTACTTCAATAAAAAAATCTTATATTCATACTTGTTTTGTTTAAAATACAACAGTAAATACAATATATAAAGGCACCCCGAAGTATCAACATTCAAATATCGCGCCAATATATGTTACAGAAATCTACTTCAATTTTTGACATTGCTTAGGTATTGTAGAACTAGATGACGTCACCTTAATTACTTTACTTTAGCCTTTTGCCGCTAGCGCTAGTGCAGTTTCCAATCTATGGGGTGTATTATCTTTGAATAGCACCATTAAATGGTAACTGTATATTCGAGGACATTTTCGAAATTCGTTTTCATTTCTTTTATTGTCTCAGGAATCTTAAGATAATAAAAGAAATGTACTTAATACTCATAAAATTGGCTTTTGAAGGTTCAAATACCCCTTAAATAGACCTTTCAAACCGCTACGAAACAATAATGTTAATTGTCTTTGGAAACCAGAAGTTGCTATTTAACAATTTACCTGCAAACTTTTTTCAATTGACCCATTTTCAAGTTTTCTCACTATTACACTTTCACTACTACCGGGTCTGTAATACAGTAAGATGATAAATCAGTCGTAAATAAAAATTAAATTCCAGATATAAATTCAAGAAAAACTTTGTATCCAGTGGCAACAACATTTATTCTCATTTGCAAAGAGTGCACCGACCCTCGTAGAAAATTGCATCCCGCTTAAACCGGATAAAAATAAGCGCTTACGATTCTGCAGGAGGTCTTGTTTGAGAAACAATTGAATTAATTAGGTCTGTGTGGTCCCAATCTACCCCGTGTACCACCGAGCTCTTATAGTAAGTAACGAGGGACATTTTTAATTGTGCACAATGCTTTTGCCATTCTGGGCTATTTATTCTGCAAGCAGACCAGTACCATATTACCTTTGGCTTTGCACAGTGGGTTAAGTTTTTGGTATTGGTATTGTACCTACTGCCGTCCAAAGTAATAGAACGATAACTGCATTTTGATTGAGAAAAAGTATACTTTTTCTCAATACTTTATAAAGTAAAGAAAAAGTACATATTAAAAACCATGTAAAAAATCGTGGCATCAAATTAAGATACGCTCCATTTGAAATTCGTTACTGTAAATGACCTAAATTATCAATTTGCTTTTAAGGCGGCAACACAGAATACACAAACGTATAGAAGCCGCCTGGTTGGCTTTAGGGTAAAATTGGAAAAAAAGTGAGTTTAAAACTGCTTGACAGTTGTCAGATAAAATAATAAATAAAATTGACTTTAAATTATTTGCGGAAGTTGAATAAAAATGGTCAAAAGGGGAGATTCCACTTGCGTGTTAAGTTTACGCTTAAGTATGTTCATCTTTCAATCAATACATGTTCTATACAGCCCAATAATATAAATATATTTTTACTTAAAAGCCAGACGGACAATCTTACTAAAACTTTGTAAATGTCTTATTGGTGGAGTCTGGTCTAACAGAATTTTTTCAATATTTTCTTATTTTGACTAAATATCGTGCCCGAACCTCCTTAAACCTCAAGTAAATTCAAATGCAGAATTTGTTCTTGTTTATGATAAATCATCATTGACAATATGAAAGACTTAAAAAAAAACGACTAAAAATATCACTTAAATATTTTGTCTGTATTTTTTGTAACTTTTCTTGTTGTTTTCCCTCATTGTGTAACGATTGTAATCTCTAGGTTAGGCAGGCAATACCACAAATCTCTGCTTGGATGTAGCACGACGTATTTGAAAATGATTAATAGGCATGCTACCACAAGAAGCAACGTCTTGAGTACCTTATTTTATACATGATACGAGACTTGCATGTTTTTATTTGGTTTGGTCGGCCTTGTTATGTAAAAAGAGTAAAAGTTTTTAGTGTTTAGTATTTTAATGTTTTTTGTCCCTTTATAATAATATTAATAACTGCAATTATAAATGATTATTTCTCTCATTATAATATGAACCAATCAAATGCCTTGAATTTTCGAATAAATTTTGTTTAAATAAGCGATTAAATCACTAGAACTATTTAACATCGATTAAATTTTAGCCACCATATTGGATTTTTGTTTACGATTTTATGGTGTTATTTTGTTTTAACAAACATTTTTTAAAAAACAATAAAAAATAAGTTATCTAGTTTACGAAATATCAATTATTACTTATTACATACCTACCTTAAGTTAATGGAATTTTCTTTAAAAAAATATTTATAAATTTTGACACATACGTCAGATTTTATGAATTGTCAAATAGTTTCCTTTAATTCGAGAAATAATCTAGACGTATATCACTCAACCTATAAATTTAATCTGTCAAACTATAGCATATATATGCTCAGTAAGTTTTTTATTTGATTTTTCTTTTTGGAAAATAGTTTCATGCAAAATAATTAAAAATAAAACCCCTCGACCTACGCGGTCTCGTGATTTTATTAAATTATTTTGCAGTTCTCGTGATATAATATATGATTAAAACACAAATTAATATTTCAAAAATTAGATTTTTTTGATTCAACTGATAATATTTTATAATTCATACCTAGTATATTTTTACAGGTTTTTAGATAAAAATTATTATAATCTCAATTTGGAATTTTTTTTCAGACTTTTTTATAATGACAAAAAATAGCTATATACATTTACATATATGAATGTATATATACAGGGTACCCTGTATATATACATTCATATATGTAAATGTATATAGCTATTTTTTGTCATTATAAAAAAGTCTGAAAAAAAATTCCAAATTGAGATTATGTCCGGGAAAAGGAGGTCAATCCGTTAACCATATATTCTTTGAGTTAAAACAATAAGACTTTCATAATACCATTTTTCAATTTAGAGCTTCATGTTCGATATACAGGGCGACAAAGTTTGAAATTTAAAACTGATTTTTTTTAATAATTCGAGTAATTGATAAGATATTAAGTTTAAATTCGGTACACTTCTTCAACATAAACAGATACATTTTTTGAGACCAACAAAACAAAAAACAATTGTCAAATAATCAAAATAGGGGGGTCCAGTACTCACTGACTCCCCTTTTTTTTTAGTACGTGCGCCAATGACTTCCAAACGGTATTTTTTCAGGTAATCATTTATTGTTGAAAATTTTTTGTCTCTTATAAAAGTTTGATAAAATGATTTGTTTTAGAGATAATTTGTAAAGTATGGGTCAATCTATATCAAATTTTTGAAACTAAATTTTTTTTTGAAAAAATTTAGGTCATGTGATATATCATAAAAAAGGTCTCTAATAGGCCTTTAAAATAAGCCATCACTCACCTTTCTACTTTTAATAGTTTACGAGATATCGCTATTTTTGTAAGTACTTGCAAAACCCAAATTTATCGGAATTTTTTGATTTTCAAAAATCAATAAAACAAAAACCACCCATCGAAAATATCATATATGGGATTTTTGAGTTTTTTAGTGAGGTAAACAAATTTACCAAAAATTATCAAAATCGGAGATGGTGGGGGAAGAACCTTTGGTTGATTTGATAGGTATGGACTGACCCATACTTATACTTATCTCTAAACAAATCATTTTATCAAAATTTTATAAGAGACAAATTTTTTTTAACAATAAATGATTACCTGAAAAAATAACGTTTGGAAGTCATTGGCGCACGTACTAAAAATAGGGGGAGTCAGTGAGTACTGGACCCCCCCTATTTTGATTATTTGACATATGTTTTTTTGTTTTGTTGGTCTCAAAACATGTAACTATTTATGTTGAAGTAGTGTACCGAATTTGAACTTAATATCTTATCAATTACTCGAATTATTAAAAAAACTCAGTTTTAAATTTCAAACTTTGTCGCCCTGTATATCGAACATGAAGCTCTAAATTGAAAAATGGTATTATGAAAGTCCTATTGTTTTAACTCAAAGAATATATGGTTAACGGATTGACTTCCTTTTCCCGGACACCCTGTATACATATTGCTTACATTTCTCCGCTGCAGCGCCCTGTTGACAATGGTAAACAGTATTAAGTCGTGGCTTACTAAGTACTACCCAACTATAGCTTAAAACTATTATTTTTTTATTTTAATTTAAAGAATTTGAATAATTTTTTAATAGAAAAAATATTTATTAAAAAATCTCCAAATTGTGGTGTGGTCAATAAAAAGGTTAAATTTTTGTGTTGTGTTGTATAATATTAAATAATAAAAATATTAATTTATACAAGTTAAAGATCATTAATTTTTTTAAATTCCAACCACATTCCTCCTTTAGTTGTCGGAACAAAATGTTTTGGGTCCATTACTAAAGGAATCGAAGTCTTAGAACTAAGGGTTAGTTTATAATTTTGTATTATACCAGCCAATCCAACTTTTGTCTGCATTTTACCAAATCGCTCACCTAAAAATTAAAATATATTTAAATATATGTGACGCGGTCCTAGAAAAAGGACCTAGTGACCAAAATCTGATTTTTGAGATTATCAATTAAGTACGAGTAGGGTAAGCGATCTTTCGAAAGGTCCAGATAGAATTTGTTAATCTAAAAAATTAACAATGCTATTAATTTTTAAAGTCAAGCGATACTACCCAAACGCCTATGCCGCGTGAAGTTTAATCGATTTTCCTGTAAAACTTGATTTGGGGTACTAGGTCCCTTTTCTCGCTTCAAATAATATACCTTTTTACATATTTTTAAACTATGGCTTTATTCTGTTTATTTTAAATAATGTATAATATACATTGTACATCATTATATTTATTTTGTTTTCAAACCCCTCATAAAAGTTTTCTAATAGTTTGAATGACGATTTTAGGTCACCAGAGTAAGGTTATTTGTTTCCAAATCTGGCAACACTGCTCCCAACATAAAAAACATACAGATACTACTTACCTATGCAGTTTCGAGGTCCTTCACCAAAAGGCAAAAATGTAAAAGGTGTAATATTTTTTACATTTTTCTCTGAAAACCTGCCAGGATCAAACCTCGTTGGATCTGGAAAATACTCTTCATCCATATGTAATCCCATTACTGGAATATTAACTTTCGTTCCTTTTTCTAAAACAAAATCTGTGCCGGGAACTTTGTAGTCTTTGGTGCAAATTCTGTTCAGAGTTGTTATAGGTGGATGCAATCTTATCGTCTCTAAAAATAATTGTAAAAAGTTATCGTTATATAATAAAAACTATCTAACCATGCTAACCATTTATAACTTGGTCCATGTAACTTAAATTCATTACGGCATCATACGTAAGTTTTTTATCGTTTTTGTTTAATACTTCAATGACTTCTTCTCGTACTCTATTTTGAATATCTTGGTTCAATGCTAATTCATATAACGCAAAAGTCATTGTAGCAGATGATGTTTCAAAACCTGCTATGAAAAATATAAAGGCTTGAGCCGCCAATTCTTCAAAACTGATTTTATCTTCCGTATTGAGATTCTCATCCTCCAGTTTTCCTGTATTTTTTAGTTGTATTAATAAATGCATGAAATCTCTTCTTTTTATATTATTAGCTTCTCGGTAATCCACAGTGTCTTTTACAACTCTCATGTAAAAATCAGACGTCTCTTTATTAATAGCTCTTATTTTTAAAAACCTTAATACCTCAGGGATACAAAAAGAAAACATTGCAATAATATTTCCCCATGCACTTCTCGTGAAAAATTTTAAACCGTAGTTAATAAACTCACAATTTGGGTTCTTTAAGCTATTGCATTCAATACCAAAAGCTACAGAACCAATAATATCAGTAGTGAATCGCTCTAAAACATCTTTTACCTCAATTGCTTGGTTGCAATTTTTTTCTAACTCCATTTGCAATTGCTTACTACATTCTAGTAGCGTTTCAAACATCATCTTCATTTTTCCCGATGTAAATGTTGGAGTCATTTTGGCTCTCAATTTTTTCGATTTTACACCCTCGAGGAAAAAAAGATTACATGATAAAGGATCATCCTCATGATAGTAAAGCCCTCTATCCATAAAACTTGTAAAATCACCAAGCAATATGTTTTTTATGATCTTCGGATCCACAGGTATATAAATTGGCGTTAACAAAAAGTATTCACCCCCATGTATTTGGTTTTTATTCTTCAAATAGTTATAGATTACTTGTACGTGTTCTCCATACGTCAACTTCTGCTTTACAAGTTTTGAGGTGTTTCCAAAAAAAAATACTGGTTTAGGACTTAAAAGTCCTTTATTTTTCCAAAATGAATGTTTCCACTTTACATACAAAATAAATAGTATTAGGCAGGCAATAAAGAATGTCCACATTTTTTTTCTTGTTCTAAAATTAATAATGAAATGAAATGTAATTAAAATACCACAATGGGAATATTATGCATTTTAAAAAGCACAACTTTTTACATAAATTGTATACATTTTTGCCCAAACTATTGGTATTTTTCCATTTACAATATCTAATCAAAATTTAGACCTGCAGTAGTACGTTTTGGAGTCAATTAATTAATTAATAATTAATAATAATTATTAAATAATACAAGAAAACGGACTTTTAGTTTATTTATTGCTAGCGTTCTTTAATATTGTAACATTATTGTGCAAGATTTCTTGCATGGTAATAAAACTGCAGTTTTTTGTATGATTGTAATTAGAAATTATTTTTAACCTTGTGAAATAATTTACTAAAAAATATAAAAATGTTTTTTAACTTACATTTGTTGTTTTAATACTAACAACACCAAGCATATACTAAATTTTTTATTAGTGGATGTAACGACATTATTTTATACAATAACAAATAAATATTCATTTTATTTAAATAAAAAGTATGATAAAATTGCAATATTTAGATATTTATATCTAAAGAAAATATAATATTTAAATTATTTTTGGTTTTGAATATCTATTTGTCTATCTTTCGTCGGTTTACAAAATTTTTGTATGCTGTTTTTTTTGTATAACTTGCTTTTACCACATTCAAGTAGAAATAAATTTGTAAATAAAAATAAACTCTTAATCAATAAACAAAAAATAGGACTTCTCCAAAACAGACTGGAACGTGTTAAGTCATGCATGACTCATGATGACATCATGATAAATAAAATATTGAAAATAATAAAATCACTATAATTAAAGAATTAGAAACCGAAGTTGACACCCTTGTGCACAGCATACAGAGAAGGTCCTTAACCCTTTAAGTGGCAGAAGAAATTTTCTTTGAAACACATTTTTTTTTTATTGAAGATAATTTGTATGGATCCCAGGATTCTTGAAAAAATATACAAAAAAATCTACCCCCTCCCTTTTTATCAGAATAGGGTGGTTAGTATAGTGATCTTGGTTACTTCAAGAAAACAAGATGTAGTATAATTTCTCAAATCATTTTATTGACCACTTTTATCAAAAAATATATTGTTGGCAGAAACTCATTATTTATTCAACGGAATTTGACTTAAAAACTTTAGGCATGATGTTATAGTTATTATTGATAGCAGAAGTACGCTTGGGTGTTCAAATATTTGGCGCCACATTTAATTACGAGGGTGGTCAGTATAGTGACTCTGCCACTGTGTCCGGTAGATTCGAGACGATTTCAGTTGGAGTTCAGGTAGTATCAAAATATTATCTAAGCCGTTGATATTAGGTGAAATAAGAATTTTACATTTTGATAATTATAGTTCTGGGGTGTAAGAAAAATTATAAGTATCTTGTAATGAGGAAAAATAGTACCAGAAAATACCTAACCTATATTTTCTGAAAAACAAATAGTTGCCCTTTATGAGGCCCAAAACACCCAATACTTTAAATATTTTGTCTTAATTTTGCAACTGAGATACAAAGAAACATATTGAAAGTTTTTAATGTTATTTACAAAATAATAAAATAGCATTTACTCACCTAAATATGTTCACAAATATCACTTTGCACATTCAAAGAAAAAAGTAATGTTCGTAAAGTATCGATGGTTAGTTAAGTGACCACTTTTTCAAAATACGTCATGCGTAGCGGACGTTGGTTAACTGAGTGTATTTGCAGGCCTTTAGGCATGATGTTATAGATATTATTGATAGCAGAAGTACGGTTGGGTGTTCAAATATTTGGCGCCACATTTAATCACGAGGGTGGTCAGTATAGTGACTCTGCCACTTAAAGGGTTAAAACAATAAAATTAAGAACATAAAGAAATATAACTTACATTAAAGCAATTGACAACACAATTGTGTATATTAATATACAACTTAAAAACACAAATATTAAAAATCATGGCAAAAATTATCTCAAAATATACCAGACAATTTAAAGCTTTTAACAACTCCCTCTCAAAGATTATAAATAACCATAAAACACTAAAGTTAACTTTTCTAAGATTAATATAATAACAAAACTCAAATAAGCAAAGAGCAAAAAGCTAGTGCCAAAATTAAGCATTGTATTTATTTATTAGTTAAACAAATTACAAGCGAAATTATTCTGTTGTCTAATGTTTACAAATCTAGTAGATTTTGGCTATTAGGCTTTTTTTTACTGTGTTAGGATTATGATTAATGTGTTAGTTTATTCTGTGAGTCTAGTGTTTATCTTCGGTTTCGTTTGGGATTGCATTACGCATTTGTTGACAGATTTATTGCCCGATGCCGTGTGCCCTTCATAGGTTTAAAGATATCTGCCGTATTTAAATTGCAGATTTTGTATTAGGTCATGCATATTCCTAAGGTAACTTATCAATTTTTTTTTGCGGATGGCCACCTCCCCTCTTGTTTGACCTCCTTTGTTTGTCCAGTGAAAAGCGTCCAATGACAGGTGGCACTTAACTCATTCATATCACTTAACACTTCTTTCCTCAATGACCGTTACACCATTTTAGTTTGCACTCTATGAAAATGTTTGTTTCACTTTATTAGTTTGCACTTTTTTTTAAATTATTGTTGGTTTTAATCTTTAAACTTTTACGTTTTAAGAGCTTTCCCACACGCGTCGTGTCTTCTCGAGCGCTGGAACCTAACTGATGCTATAAAATAACTTATACATTAGTAAAATAAGTTATAAAAAAAACTAATTAATGCTTAAAAAAGTACAAATAATAAACGACAATTCAGAATATTTAATATAACACACGTGATGTATTTTATTAAAGTTGTTACACATACCAAACATTGGCGACCGCAATAGTACATTTGTACGAGCAAAACATTTAAAGATTGAAACTGACCTAGAATGAATACGCGGAACATGAAAATTCAACCGCTCAAGCAGATCTGGACAGTCAATCTTATTATGGACAAGTTTGTATAAAAATTTAATTGAAAATATATTCCTCCTAACATCTAGTGCTAAAATATTCAATTCCTGCAATAACAGATTGTGTTCATATCTCTGGATTTTTAATGTATAAGATTTTCAAAAATGGACGTTGAAATGCAAGTGATTTGCAGTGATTCTGATAATATGAATACCAAATATTTAAAAAATATTCAAGTTTAGAACGAACTAAACTGAAGTATAGTGACTTTAGTGCAAACATATTTTTAAAAGATTTCGATAAATAAAACCAAGAACCCTATTATCATCTTAGGTATATTGTTACCTTAAAACAAAATTTTTATTTTGTTCAATGTTACTTCACGGTTTACGGTATTTCCCTTGAAGAAAAGTTGGAATTAAAACTGTCGCAAAAGAGACATGAATTAAATATTTCTCAAAGAGATGGAAACACTATCCGAAAAACTGGACTTCAAAATTGCTTTTAGTTCAAGCAGTAACAAACTTCAGGCACCCTTTTAGGCAACCCCAAAGATAAGATTCCTAAAATTGAAAAGTCGGGGATCTACTAAATAAACTGTCAAGATAACAAGAAATATGTTGGACAAATTAAACGATCCATCCAAGTAAGGTTCAAAGAGCACTTGGCCCATGCCAGATTTGGGAGGACAGAGACATCGAATGTTGCCCAACATATGCTTGATGATGGTCATAGAATAGGATTTGATAACCTTAACTAATTAAGGAAGTAAGGGAACCAAATCTGCTATATAGTTACGAAAGTTTATACATCTATAAGAAAAGAAATAAATCTTTAAATAGCCATAACGGATCGGTACCCAACTCTAGTCTGTATAAATTAGTGTGTTAGTTTCTCTTTACGTATTCACTGAAGCGGTTACGGTCCACGGTTTATTAAAGTGTCCGTTCACGGTTTAGTCAACCTTAGCTTCTAATTAGTATAAATATGGTAGATTTAGCAATTATATTTATCTATTTTGCGTTCATAATGACTTCATTATAACATCGCTTTCGGTGCTATAATGAAATACTTTATCCCACCAAAAATTTTGATTTTATAGGTTGGCTATACTTTAAACAGCATAATATTTTGCATATTGGTTATAATATTTTTATGATTTTTATATTTTTATGATTTTTCTACTTACGAGACTTTCTGGCAATAAATTTTGTTTAACACCAAAGAAAATTCTTTTTTTCTTCTTTAACATTAACAGCCACTTAAACTTACACTTCGCTTCTAAAGATGCCAACATTGTTGGCGAAAAGTACTTTAAGCACTTGTGTTTTGTTTTGGTGTTTGGGAATATTTCTAGTATTTGTTTAACTTTATTATTATGCTTATTTAAACGAATGTTTGTTATTTTTGACCATCTATATCTAATTTTACAATCAAAAATATTATCAAACCCTGAAATGTGCTTATTTCAAAATATATTACAAGATAATATTGAACACTTTAAAAGGATTGCGTTTGAAATTTTAGATACCACCGTTGTTCAAATGCAAGAAAGATTTAAGGATATTGATAATCCAGATTTATTAAAATATTTAGTCTTAAAAATTATTCTGATTACAAAAAAAAAGTTTCACTTATTTCAAAATTTAAATAAAACATATTTTATAATTTTAAAACTGCACAACTACATTTACAACAACGATTTGTGTGATTTGTTGAAACAAAGAAACTGTTATTCCTAATTTTACTAATCCCTGTTAGTACAGCATCTTCAGAAAGATCTTTCAGCACGTTAAACATAATAGAATCATATCTTAGAAATTCAATGACCAATAAAGGGTTATCTGCTTTGGAAATCTTAAGAATTAAAAAAAGAATGTTCAATAAATTTAATCAAAATCCTTCCTTTTTAAAAAATGGTAATTGACCATTTCGATTAATCTAAAAATCGGAGAGTCGATTTAATTTACAAACAAATTTAAATAAACTTTTAACCATTATTTATTTTTTATAGTTTTTCTTTATTTTTAAATAATATAAATTTTTATGTTTGGTTTGTTTTTATTTTTTTATATCCTAATTTATTATTTGATTAAAGTTTAACACTTTCTTTCATCTAACCGTATATTTGTCTACCCATACTCCACGCTTCGCCACTGATTCCTTTAAACGGTCATAATTGTTAATAAGAGACTTTAAATATAAAAATATAATTTATTTTTTCTAATAACAAAATATTCTTTAACTTTTTAAAATATCTACTTATAACAATCATGATCTCGAAAATGTATTGGACCTAAGTTTTCTGGAGCCGGTCATAGTATGAATTTAAGTCTACCTTTTTTTACTTCCAAATAACTATTTTAACTAATATTTATTTATATAAATATTTATAAATTGTGATTTAAACAAAACATAATATACAATTCGGTGCAAATAAGCAATCAGGCGCATAAATTATTCCGATAAAAATATCAAATAATTATTTACGAATTTATATTTAAT